ACATATAATTAAAATGTGTATTTAAAACTTACCTTTGCACCAAAACGTGTTACACTTTCCTTTACAATTATTATGTTATCAAACAACACTGGATCTCGTTCAAAAACACAGGATTATGAGCTGAAATTACTATAATCACTATGCTACTAGCAACCTTTCTGCATTTACTGTTTGGTTTTCCCTAGTAGATACTGGATGAATTCAGAACCGAGTCAGACATTATTATACAGCTCAAGGGTAGAAATCATAGAATGCTGGGTAAAGACTGTTGGAAGATAGGTAGAGTTGAACGCTCAGGTATCGTCGAACCTTCAGGTACGAGTTTGGAGAGTTGGAGCGAGGTAGATTTGCTGGCGTAGGTATATTGTTATTGAAGAAGATTGTAAATTGTATATAGGGTTACGGTATGTAATGTGGGTCTAGTCCTTTCATTCGGCCTATCACGCAAATAAATAATTAATTAAGGAATATTACACAAAAAATAAGGAAAATATTGATCACTGATGGTTGATAAATGTGTACCACACACAAATCAATTTATATCACAACATTTCAATACATTTTCAGCTCTCGTAAGTAATAAAACTGGTTGAGAATATCACAATGTTCGGAGTTTTTAGCCGCCATGACTTATAAGGTTAAGATGGGAAGGTTGACTGACGATCATCAAATGGCCTGATTATGGCATTTATTGATTGGAATTACCTGATAATACACACTAGACGTAAAACTTACAGTTGCTGTTTGAATATTTTATGTTTATTTTAATTGTTTAACAACGTTTTCACAAGTAAAACATGGACCCAACTTTAGGGACACATTTCTTTTCTATGTTCCTAACTATGGCCCATGAAATTCATTTGACAGCATATAGCAATAAGAGTAACGTCAACAATGTTGTTTTGCATTTGGATGATAAGGAACGAACAGGAAGGGAGATTTTTTCTGCCAAACCTGTATAATGAACATCACAATGTTCTGATTTAGATATTCTGCGGTCAAAAGACGATAAGCGAAATTTTTAATTTTTAATTTTTAAATTGAGTGATTTAATGTAGTTTTCGTAAAATTTTCTCTAAGAAATGTTTTGAGGAATGAAGAGCATTAAGTTAACAGTGATAGTGATAAAAAAAAATACATCAGAAAACGTTACCAAGAGCGTTTTTTTGAGGATCAAACAAGATAGGACGAAGTTGCATCCATAAATAGACCCAATTTGGGGACAATAGACCCATATTACATACATTTCCCTCGTGAGTTATTGTCTTAAAAAAAGTAAGTTTTTCAACTTTTCGTGGTTTCTGATAGCAAACGACATGATAAGCATATCTAAGCATACCATTTAGCAGTAGAATATCGTTTGCAGGTAAATTCATTGATGAGTTATGATTAAAAACGTAATCGATGGCTGCATATTAGACCGAGGTTAGGGACGTATACCCTACCTGGAATGAATAAAGAGTGCGGCGGTTGTTGATTGAGGTATCAGTCGGCAGCCCTCTAGTTTGATGGAAGGTGACTACTGCGTTCTTTTTATTTATTATTAAGGAACGGTCAACGACGGAGCTAGCCTCGTTATGGCCAGCGTGGCCATGGTGGACTAGTTCCAACAAAGACCATGTTTACAATCTACGTGACCACGTAGTACAGCTAACTGGTATCTGATTACCTGTATCTAATACTTGTTAGCACGTTTTCAGCACAACGCACCAAAAATCATTTGAAGAAATCATTGTTCCTGATAGTGGGATTTTGTAACTTGTTTTTCAAAATACTTTTAAGGCAGAGAATTTCACTCGAATCTTTAAGCTGTCAGTGTCATTTTAACTCAAAATTTTCCAATCTTTCCGAAAAAAATACTTTTGAAACTGGAAAAACACGGAGTACATCCGAAAAGGGCCAAAACTTATTAAGTTATCAAAAAAAAAACAATATTAAATCAGTAATATCTTCTAAACGGTGTATCTTAGAAAAATGTTACCAAAGTACTTTTTGTTTGCAAATTTGATGTACTTTCATAAAATTAGGGTGACAAACTTTTTTGACTTTTCTTAATAGCTTTTTTGAAAATTGTATTTTTTTTAAAAAACAATTTTTTCATCGTAACCTATTTTTCTCCAGAACAACTTACTGTGCACTAGATAGCATTTTTTAGTCAGCTATAACATAAGGATAATAAAAAAATTATTGACATGTCACTTTAAAGGGAAAATTTATATTTTAGTTCAAAACACAAATACCAAACTTTTTTTTTTTACCGTGCATATTTTTTCCATATAACACCAACAATTGTCTAAAACTTCGCCCAAGACACCAAACCAATCGGACAAACCGTTTCCGAGATACAATTTTTTGAAGATATCATGTGCATTTTTCATAGGCCCTTCTCATAAGTAAGGCTAGATTCAAAATGGCGAACCAAGTATGCAAAACGGCGTTTTTCTTCCCCAAAAACTTGTATGCAAGGTTTCATGCAAATCAAAAAATACAAAAAATAAAAACTGGAAAAATTTCCCACTTGTTCGTGGAACCGCTCCCAAGCAAATCGATTAACTTATCCCATTCTAGTCGAAATTCTAGTACTACACTATGTTTGCTTTGATTCGCTATGACAGATTAAATGAGAGGTTCGTGGATTTTCCCATGCGTCGAGGGGTGCATCGATTAGCTTGAGACCGAAGAGAGTACCAGAGCTGAGCCAAAAAGTTGAGAACGTTTCTTCGGGACCTTCTGGTCTTAGAGTTACCTCTATGATAGTATCAAGTACAGTACATTTGAAAATTTAACACTTTTTATCACCACCTACCAGCGGCGCCGGTGATGTAGTGGTAAGCGTGGATTCAATCCCACTCGGCACCACCGGGATGTTCTGAGGCATAACATCTCTGATCACGCCTTCCTTCGGAAGGGAAGTAAAGCCATTGGTCCCCGGTTCATGAGTTGATGGGTCGATAGTTAGGGTCCAGGTGTGGGAGCTGTCTTCCTGTCGTCGGTAGCATTGGTGCTCAGCACGGAAAACAAGATCAACGGAAAACAAATCAAGGAAAAAAAATACCCTTTTCTAAAGTTACGCGAGAATTACGTAAAGTCTTCATTTGCAGTAAATACGGCACCGCTTATTTAAACGTCAGTTCTTTTTTTGTGCAGTTCATTTCGTGCGTTGGTCAATAGGGCGAATCCGCTTATGGACGAGTGCACGGATGGAGTTGGGTTCACTCACTAGAGAAAAAGTGGCACAAGCTGCGGGCAATGTTTACTAATCATGAACACTTAAATGTTCATGAATAATAAATAATGAACATTTAGTGTGTCACTTTTCCTCGAGTGGGTGAACTCAAATCCATCCGTGCCCTCACTGTTATGTGACTAATGACTTCTTCTTCTTCTTCTTCTTAATTTATTTATATATCCTAGGCCTCTTTTCCTGTTCCGCAATCGACCCGGAAAAAAAATAATCATACAATTACCATAAAATAAAATACAATCACAGCACAACCTCTTTCCAACATTCAATCTTATTGTATGTATATCATACAAACAAATTTAAAATATTGTTATTACAATAGATCTGCAAAACTTGCCATATAGGAGAAATGGCTCTAATGTTGGCTTATGGATCTAAGATTGGGCCCATCGCTAACAATCTGCTATTTATCAATGTTATCTAGATGAACGCGTCATTGGGATGGTACTAATGGATATTTTTGGGCGGTATTGATAATTTAGTCGGTTGCTGAATTTATGTATGGGCCCAAATTAGGGGCATTTAGGCCGACATTACATCCATTTCCCCTAGCATGAATTTTCAACAATAGAAAAACAATAAAATTAATGGGAAATGGCTGAAGTTTGTTCGGGAAAAAGTGATTTTTTGTACGGCTAAGATACATAACAACACCCTTGTTCTATTGTAGATTTTTTGTTTGGAAACAATAAATTATATGGTTATTTTAACGTGGTGGACAGTACGATTTATTTTAAATACAATACATGTTATTGTATGGTTACAATACATATCATTGTTCCTCTAAGGTTCTTTTTTTACGGGGAGTAGTAATCACCGACGGACATTGATTGCCCATTGACGGCAATCGAATGCCAGGAAGGTAGCTTTCACATCTGGGTAGATATCCAGACCAGAGATTTTTATGCCTCAGCCACACTGGGGTGAAAAGCAGTCACGCTTAGGTAACATGCATAAATGACGTAGCATTTGAGGGGGGAGGTGGAGGTTTCAGAATTTGTGACCGGCCATGTATTGGATATAGCAAAATACGCTACGAGGGGGCGGATCAAAAATTTGCTACGTCATTTATGGATGTTCCCTTACCGCTACACCACCTTTAAATATAGATGTTTCGCTAACACACACCAACGCCTAAGGGTCAGATTTTCTTCATTGATCGAACTGAACGGTATAAAAACATTCAATTTTTCGTACAAATCGGCTGAAAAAGAGCGATATTGCACAGGTTGTGCTTAGAAGGACGGAAATCAGATCGCAAACCCTAGTGTGGTAGCAAGAGCAATTGACACTGATAACTTGATTTTGTTTATTATTTGTTAATTTCGATGTATACAAAATTTCCGAAAGGAATGAACATAGAACGCCGAATAAAACCCAGACTCTAAACCAAGCTTGCAAATGCTCATTACAGCTAAAATGCTATTTTTCGGGTTTATGAAGCTATGAAATATTTGAATGGTAATTCTTAGTGACAAGATGCAAGAAGAGAAGGTGACGTATTTGTATGATACATAAAATATGTTAATTTAGCTTTCAGAGGGTCACAATAGCGATTAGCTGTAACGATGAGCAACGTGATGAGCGAGCAATCAGAGATCATAAAATCGCTAGTTGTGACCTTCTGAAAGCAAAATTGATAAATTGTGTATGTCATACACAAACTTTACCACCCATTCCACCCACCTCTTACAATACAAAATTAGCATTATAGTATCTCATAGTTTCATAATTCCAAAAATTAGCAGTTTAGCTGTAATGAGCAATTGCAAGCCTGCTTTAAACTAAATAGTTGCTGCGGTAGACAAAAACACTGTACGGGCGCTATAAACAAAATGCGAACTTTACTCTGACGGTGTTGAAGAGTCCTTTTCTACACCGTACTGAGAGCTTAGTGTTACATCTAATACACACAGATTTCCAAAAAAAATGTATTACTGGTAGACGTATATATAACATATTTAAAACAACAGTCAGACATGTTGTAGGAACAGTGATGTGTTCATCGGTAGATTAGTTCCATATCAGGCACCAAAGAGCACTTTTAAATGCTTCACTAAAATTATAAGTGTAATATTATCTCCCAATAGTCAAATTTCAGTGCAGAATATTTTCTATCAAATCGCATAATAAAACAATTGTTTCTCTGCACAACCAAGAACTACCATATTTTGTTTTATGAGCCATAGATTTTGATAATATTCGACCGTTATTTGAGAATAAAGATCTATCAGTAATTGAAAAAAAAATATATACTACGCCAGTCAACAAAGTTATAATAACCATAGTACAAGGATCCTGTGGCATCAACGTGCCGTAATATTTTTCGTATAATCTAAGTTTCCTCTAATCAAGACCTACTGATTTCCTCTGTTCATTCGACGTGATGCAGATTCAGACCACTGGCCCATCGTTGCTGGGTTACTTCAGTTTTCAGGCACTCGAACATCCCAATCTCACGCATTCATCTCAAGCACTAGTACATAATTGGCTTATGTTTACATTGGTCAACAACATATCCTGTGAAGCGTTTAAGGAACTTTGGATATTCTTTCTTATAGATAGCACGGAGCACGGTCGCTGGAGCCCAGCCACCAGGATTCACTGTAATGGTTTCGGAAGAAAAAAATGATTATGTTTGTAAAAGAGCAAATTTCATGGAAACAAGGATAGTTCTCTTACCAGTGGAGCAGTAGGTAATTTTGCACGTTAGATCGTCGCGTGTTGCAGTTTTGCTATCCTTGCCTGGCGTCAGATATGTGTGACATACCAATATCACTGTTAGATAAATTCTAACGCATTTGCCTTGGTTTGCGGGCTGAAATATGTTCAATTAATCGATATTATTGTTGAGATTTTTTTTTAAATGTGGAATGAAATATAACCGGATTGTAGCGATAACGGCTAGAATGACAACTGTATCAAAACCGAATACTTCTTCATTTCTCAATAGTGATGGAGTAATACGACATGCACTAAACGAAGTACACGGTGTATAACATATTAGATCGAATAACTGGTCGCAGTGGATTTATGTCCCGCACAGAGGAAAAAAAGATGGCCACACATATTCCGGTTCCACTGTGAAAGTGGCCAGAATCAGACGTAAACTAAAATCACGTAAGATCGCATCAAAATTCAAGTATGCGATAATTTTCAGCCAATTCAAACGCTGAAATTTCGTGTGGCTTATTTCATGAAAATCCAGATAATTTTCAAAAAAAAAATTTTTTTTGTTCAAATTAAAATAATGTTTTGGCTTTTGTGTATCGCTTCCGATATTGGAAATGTTGCGTCGAAAATTTTAACGCTGATGAACCACAATAAACACCTATTCTTTGACGGATAATGAATTTGTTCATTTCCCTCGTCCGTAACAGCGAGGGTTTTCCAAATCAGGTTAAAAACAGTTTAATGGGCACTTTAACACTCTTGGGTCATTCTTACTTGTCCGGGGATGACATTTGAACTATTGAACGCTATCTCAAAACTACCCAAATTTGACTAAAATCCACCCAGATCGGTCAAAACTGAACCTATCCAAAAATAGGTAAACTAAGTTGGGAGTCACAAGTTGACAAATGAACATCATTGATCGGGTTCAGATCGATGTGGGAGTTATTTGGGTTATTTGTTTAATGTTGGAGGAATTTTGATATTTTTGGAATAGCGTGTGGTAAATGTTTAAAACAGACACTTCTTCCTTGACGATAATTGGTAAAAGTATTGACAAAGTCACCATTTACCATAAATGATTAAAATACTAGAATTTATTTTGCATTAACTGAAGCTATGTTGTGACATTTTTAGAGCCGGTCCCCTAAAAGTTACTACAATTTGTTAAAAATAATATTTTTTTATGTGACAAGCTTGAAAACAGAAAACTAGCCACTAAAAAGAGACTAGCTTGCACCAATAGAGGCCAACAAATAAATTAACCACCCAAATCCAATTATTCAATGTTCATACAAAACAGATGCTAATGGTACGTATTCACGCAATGTTTTTGCAATATTATCATGCAACGACAACTTACCGGATACTCTTCGTTCTGATTGGAATGATTACACACAACCCAAACATTGTGCGCACCCTGGTCCAAATTATCGGTGATCTTTCGCATGTGTGACCAAAACAGAGCATCACGTTGACTGGCCGGCCAGATGCGCTTGTATGTTTGCAGGAAGACTAATGTATCCGGGGCTACATTATCCACTATCTGTACATCTTCCAGCGTTGTTTCCCAGTCGTTTCTGTAGGCGGGATCGAAAAAGTAATGGCACATTTCTCGCGCTGTTACACCTTTCACCACGTGACAGGATTTCAGCGGATCAATCACCATCCCATCAACTTCCTCTTCCCGTCGATACATTTTCATTTCACCCTCATCGGCAAACAATTGCCACCCGTTGCCACCATCTCCGACACCTTGGCGGGCTTGATACAATTGCTCCGTGCAGATTCTGTCGATTTCTGGCCACAGTTTGTGAGAATGAGCCTGCACACCAGTTCCAAAGTCCTCTGATTGCTGGTTACCATCGTCAGTCTCTTGGTTACTAAGAACAGAGCTGTTCGTGCTTATTTGTGACTGTCGAAAAAACAAATGGCGCTCAAGTAGAAGTATTTATAAAACGAACATTTGAAATTACCTGTTGAGATTGAAATTTTAGGCGGACACGCAGCTGTCGGTCTTCCTCTATCTTGTCGAGACCAGTCTCCACCGCATCGAAGAATTCATCTTCTGGTATTGTCGAATGAGGGCCTTCCTGAAAGTACATAAAAAAAAAGCACCGTTAACATACGCAAACATGTTGCATATCATAACTTCCTAGCTTAGGAGTAACAATATGAACTTAATCTTACATCGTTGTCGCAACGCAACGATTGACACAGAGAAACGAAGAAATGTTAAAACTATAGCATTGCTACATTGGCGGATTCAATAATAAAAAAGCAGCTAAGCAGCACTGTAACTTGCATAATAATTGCGCAACTAATGACAAAGTGGCACTCATTGTCGCTTTAGCTCAAAATCAAATCAAATGAACAGCTAGGCTTAAATAATATCTTGCAAACTTCAGAACTGTCACTAAGGGTCTCCAATAGATAAATCGGCCCGTGATTAATATGAAATAACTTCAATTGAAGATAATTAAGAATTCTTCCAACATCCATTTGCGCATCTCGAATTGGATAATGCAACGGATTTCCCAAAAACGAGAATTGCACAAATGGCTGTCGAATACTAATGAGTCTTTCAAGTTGAATAGTAAACGTGAAAAATCACTTGGAATTGCACTCGTAAAAAAATTTAATAGCAACATATCACTCAAATTTCAACCCAATTCACGGCCACGGCCAATTTCATTGCCATGGCTATATTGTTTCTGTTGGTCAAACTGCGAAAAGCGTGCAGACATACATTACCTTCAAAGAATTGTAATCTGCATTGGGGTTTTACACTGATGCGCTGTGCTGAGCATGTGACTGTCAACCACGAAATTATAGCTTCAGTGACTGTCAAGCGCAAAGGTAGTAAAACGGATGAATACATTTGAGCTTGACCTTTAAGTTCCGTTTTTTAATGATTTCCGAAGAAGATAGATTTGGATGTGCATTTTATTTTGAACTTAGAACTGATGAACAACATCTGCAGTCAACCGAGTAGTTCCTTTTCCGGTTGAATTTAGTTCTTCTTGAGTTTTATGTTCTTACTGGAACATAAATACATAGTGTTCTTCGAACACTACCACACTTGCCAAATGAAAAGTGTACTAAGCCAGGTAGAAATTTTACTATTAATTCTATGGATTAGGATAACATAAGAGGAAAAATCTCAATAAATATAGTTATGACTCGATTTTGTCAGCCCTTTTTTTTAAATCTTTTCTATTGTTACTTTTCTACGAACATTTTCTGTTAATACAGAATGTGAGTTGACTTTTACACTTTTTCATATGAACAGAATATGAATCAGTTTCGACGATTTTTTCTGTGGACCACTTTTTGCTTTTGAAGACAAATGTTGTTTGTTGAAATTTGTTAATTCAAGATCCCCTGATACAAATCTGTCTGCAAGTCTATAGGGGCTGTCCATAAACTATGTAGAAAGGTAAGGGGGGGGGGGTGCAGGAATAATCAACGGCCCATACAAATTTAAAAAAAAATAATAGGAAATTGTCTATGCAGGGGAAGGGGGGTTTAGAATCCCCAAAAACTGTCTACATAGTTAATGAACAGCCTCTGTAGTAGTCTCAACATATACAGAGAAAATTATTTTCCTTCAAATCGTGATGGTTTTGGAATGGCGATTTTGTTTTGTATTATGTTCATTGCAGCAAACACACCGTGGGATGATTTAAGCCGAAGTGAAATATCAATTTGTACATGTTTATACCCCGGACAGACTATGGCTTATATCATGTAATATAGGCTGTCTTGCAATGAGCACTCATACATAGGATTTCCAGTGAAAACTAGATATATGAGTGCTCATTGCAAGACAGCCTATATTACATGATATAAACCATAGTCTTGCCGGGGTATTACTTTTGTATAGCAAAATATTTTAAAAGTATTAATAACCTATATTTAATCATTTGATTTAAATGTTAAGTTTACACCTCAGGATGTCTTTCAATACAACCAAGATTTTTTTCCGACTACTACTGGAACTGTTTATTTTCAACTTCTTGTAGAAGATTCATCCAACTACTTCAGGTGATGACACAGACATTCCCAGAATTTGTTTTCCTACTTCCTCAGATTTTTTCTGACTTCATTCAGGAGTTTCTTCTTACTACCTCCAGAAGCTTCATTTGATTTCCTTTGAATGATTCTTCAGATATCCCCCAGATGTTTATTTTTAACTTTCTCCGGAAGATTCATCCAGCATATCCTGGGACCACTAGAAGAGTTGCGATGCAAAGTAGCGATGCAAAGTTGCAATGCAAAATTACGATGCAAAGTTGCGATGCAAAGTTGCGAAGCGAAGTTGCACTTGAAAAATGCCAGCCAAATTTCTGCCGAACGAGCAATATATCCGACCAGAGTCGGTAAGTTTCTTCCAACATTCTCCGGAAGTTTTTCCGACTTCTCTGAAAGTTCTTTCCTACCTAACCAAAAGTTTCCATCAGCATCTACTGGAAATTGCTTTTGTCTTACTGTATTGATAGTTCTAGACGGAGTAAATTTTCCGGGAATGGATTTCTGGTCAATGTGGCCTATTTTTAGTGTATGCCTTTTTTATTTAGATGTTTTCCAAGAAATTTGAAGAAGCTTCCCTAGAATTGAGAAACGCAGTTTTCTTTGTGAAATTTTGGGGAAATGAAATGTAATGCTGGTATTTCAGTTAAAAAAAATCTTATCACTTGTCAATATTTTAAACAGAAAAGTTAGAATAAAAAATATTTTTTAGGGGCAACGTAATTTAAAGCAGAAAAATAATAAATCAAAACTAGATAAATGGTGTTCATTAGGGTTGGTCATGTATATATGGTGGAACATTACCCTATGCCCCCACAACATCTCGCAACCTGTGACCCACCAGGAGCTGAGTTTGGACAACTATCCGGTGAAGGCCGATGTGGGCTCATTCGTCAACCGATTTCAAGCTTCCCGACGCAACTACCATCGCGTCAGCTGGGATCAGTTCCAATACTGTGTCACGACTACGGTGTCCTTCCGGAGACGCCCGAAGACGTTGACCGGTGTCTACGTTCCATCGAGGAGCCGATATCCCGGGCCAGGGAACAACAAGTGCCAGTATCCAGACAGGCAATACCAGCGTTCTGGCTTGCCTGTCTTGAAGACGCACTGTAATCGCCTAACAAAAACCATCCAAGCTAGGATGGTGGACCTCAGAAATCAGAACTTTGCTAACAGGATCCACTCTCTCCCAGATTGTGCAAAACCCTTTTGGAAATTAACCAAAATCGTTAAAAATAAGCCAAGACCCATTCCACCACTGACCCCACTGGATAGTCCCGACGACCCAGTCGTTCATCTGATAACTCCTGAAGAGAAGGTTGCCGCGATAGATCAACACTTCGTCAGCTCCCATAATCTCGGACAAAACATCGTCAGCCCTCACGAAGCTGAGGTTGCTGTAAACGCAACCAACCTCCATCAGATTCCTATTATTTTTCCCGAGGAATCCGACTGACGAACTGTTGACCTGTATCAAATCATCTACAAACATGAAGGCCCCAGGTTTCGACAACATCCTGAATCTGGAACTCAAACACTTGAGTTCGAGATTCTACAACCATCTGGCACTGATTTTAAATCAGTGCCTCAGACTTGGCTACTTCCCCTCGTGTTGGAAGTCAGCTAAAGTCATACTCATCCGGAAACCTGGAAAGGATCCGTCCTCTCCTTCAAGTTATTAACCAATCAGCCTTCTCTCTGGGGTATCAAAACTGTTCGAAAGAGCAGTCTACCTGACATCTGCCGAAGAAAACAACTTGTTACTCGAGGAACAGTTTGGTTTCGACCGTATACCAGCTGACTCGAGTAACAAACATTCTCAGACGGAACAAGTCTGTTTCGAAAACATCTGCCATGGCGTTGTTGGACATTGAAAAAGCGTTCGACAATGTCTAGCATGATGGCCTGGTGTTCAAATTTCAGCAGTACGGTCTTCCAATCTTCCTAGTGAAGATAACAAATAACTATCTATCGGATAGAACGTTCCGAGTCTTTCTGAATGGCATCACATCGGATGCTTTCATCATCGGTGCCGGGGTTCCACAAGGAAGCATCCTTGGCTCTCTTTTATTCAACCTATTCACCTCCAATATACCGGCTCTCCCTGATGGTGAATCGTTGTCTCTGTTCGCAAATGACACATATATCGCCTGCAAGGGTAGGGTTATCGGATGTCTGACTGCTAAATTTCAGAGAGGCCTGGACTTCCTGTCTGAATATTTCAACAGCTGGAAGATCCGTATCAACGCGGCAAAGACCCAGGTCATCATCTTTCCACACTCTAAATCTCCCAGACTTGTTGCGTCGGTGAATAATAAGATCTGCCTGAATGGCACAGTGGCGGAATGGTCAAAGAAGTTAGTCTACCTCGGCTTAATACTAGACAGCAAGCTGATTTTCAGTGGGTACGTTGACAAAAACCAAAACCAAGTGTAACATCCTGAAAAGATTCCTGTAACCACTCATCAACAGGAGGTCTACCCTGTCTCTGAAAAATAAGCTTGCTGTCTACAAACAAATCATCCTTCCCGTAATCGAGTACAGTATGCCAATCTGGGAGAGTTGCGTCAAATGCCATCACCTCAAACTCCAAAGGATCCAGAACAAGATCCTTAGGATGATCCTAAACAGTCCCCCGCGAACTAGAAATTCTGAGATCCACCTCCTGGCTGGAATTCAGACATCAGAAGAACGGAGAGTTTTTTATCCTAGAAAGTTTCAGAGACACTTCATACGTGATCTAGCACGTTAGGTTAAGTTATACTCGTAGTTTGGTACTTTTTTCAATTCAAACATAACACACCTGCCAAGGGGTATTCTGTAGAGTAATAGAAAAACGTGAATACATAAATTAGAATAACAAGTAAAACAAAGATGAAGAGCCTGATAGGCTAATTAATTAAAATGTTAAAACAATATAAAATCAAAATTAACAAAAAAAAACCTAATTTTACTCCTACTATGCCCCCACTGCTCGATGCGCATTAAAGTCCCCAAAAAACTTAAATTTTGAAATGACACGAAGCTATTAATTTGCATGCCAAAAATTGCAAAATTG